AGTGCCTCACAATGTTTCCAAAAATAAGGTATATGCTGAAAAGCAGGCAAAGGAGAGATGTTGACAGCCAGAAATATTGAGAGTGGTAAAAATGAGGATAGTTTGACAGACAAGGAGTCCTTGTATTCAGGTGATGGCCTTAAGATATCAAGGAATAGGGGTAAACGTCAAGGGGGTAAAGTTGCTTACATTTTATCAGTAATAAACTAGATGAAAGATCATATTTTAAATGATACGCCTCCGAGCATGTGCTACATCAAGGTGTTGACAGCATCATTTTTTCCAAGGGATGCACAGGTATATTTAAGTAGTTTCCAAGTTATAAGTATCTTGATTACCAAGGAGCAGTGGGAGGCAGAACCTGGCCAGTGAAAGCAAATGATTGATAGCTTCCTGGTAATTCTTCAGCCTTTATTTTCCCCTGCCTGGCTCACTGGCGCATTATTCCACTGCATTAATTTAAGCTTTTTCTATTGTACTGAATTAGGAGCTTAAATTCTCTTATCATCCCTATGGGAATCTTGATTGTTTATTTGTGGATGACAATAATTGCTTTTATTGATCCTTAAATATGGAAGGTATAAAAAGTACTATGGTTGATGGCCAGCTGATACATAGTGGCGTATGCGTGACAAAATACAATATTTGGCCCCAGAATACACTCTTGAAGAATTTTAAGCTATTTGATAGTGATTACTAGGTCTCTTCAAACTGAAAAGTATAAACAATTTCAAGTACATCAGCTCAAGTCTTTGTGTTGTTTTATTGAATCCTGAAAGTCTTCCTTGGGTATGGTTTATACTCCTTTCTAACACACCCATGCAACAAGACGTGGTACACGTGTAGTTGCATATGGTACAACTACAAGAATTACCGGAGGCAGGGCCATCCAGGCCAGTGCATTCCTCCAGGGACTCAAAACACCAGCTATTTGTTTGGAAGAATTCCTGGATGGAGCTAGCATTTGCTAGTATGCCATTCAAGCATCTTTGTAAGGACATTTACTTTGAGCATTTTGAGAACAAAGCACTCTGAAGGTCTCAGCATGTACTACAGATAGGAAACCTCATGCCATTTCATAACCCAAATATATGACAGGCATTAAGGGGGAAAATGCAACTGTCTAATTAAGTGCTGTTTTTTAGGACAGGACACTTGGGCAGTATGAGCCTCCTGCGTCTGAATCAAATGCAACACACATTGTTGGAAGAATTTTTGGGCTAATTAGCATAGACTATCTACCCCGAAACAAAATAAATCAGGTTAGGCCTAAAAGGAATCTAGTATCATAAGTTCTTATTAAGTGGTAAGGTGGAAAGATCTTTGAACAGATGTCAAAGCCTATAATTCCTGACCCCTTTCCTGTGGTCAAGTGAAGAAAGATAGAGGAATCACAGAAACAGTTATGTCCTAATACCCTTTGAGGGCTCCATCTCAAATGCTTACTGTTGAACTCTCAGAATTGACTATCTGGGCTGGACCTGAATAAGTCAGGAGAGCTTCTTTTGCAGAATAGTGGTCCATATGTCACACAAAGGATCCCCCTTTATCTTGACCTGGAATGTCATCTGGATTCTTGACTGTTGGCAATTGTGTGGAGGGACTGTGACAAAGGAATGACCGTTTACCCCAACTTATATTTATCCTCATTCAAATTAAGCTTTACCCCTAGTACCATAGTCCAGTTGCGTCGTCTGCCTTGGACAGTCATCTTGTATTTTCCTGAATGGCAGTGAGAAAAGGCAAACACAGAGCTCCTCCACTAAAACTTTAAGTGATTATACCATTGCAAGGAAAACACTTTCTGTACACTTTTTTTTAAAACTTAATATCTCATGCATTTTGTATCACACCCAGCACACAAGTTAGCACTAAATATAATCTAACTAATGTGATTGCTATTTGCAACAATCCAACATGCACAGAGCATGTTACTACACAATGGTTAATGCTTAATCTCAGATTGATGATGGAGGGTGATGATCACAGAATCATCTATTTTAAATCTGGAGGAAGATTTACTCATGACTTAGTTCAACAATCTCATTTTAGAAACAAGGACACTAAGACCCAAAGAGTCTGGCTGTCCACAGCCTCTCATTCAAGCAGTGGCAGAGCTAGAATGTGAGACCAGGTATCTCCACTTCAGTTCTGTACTCCACTCGGTACTGACTCTGAAATAAATTGGCCCATGCTTTGTTGTATTGTATTATGATCAATTGTATTAATGTGTGTTCCTCCTCCGGTAGATCATGTGCTCCTTAGGAAAATATTTATCAACAGCCTCTCGCACAGTCAGTGACACATAATAGGATACCAATAAATATTTGTTGGAAAAATAAATAAGTGGGTGAAGAAATGAGACATATTTTTCTCATTATGTCCAAGCAAATGCTGTAATTTTCAGTGATCTCTACTAGTGCTTATCTAGGCTAGTAATGAAGAAGGAGAGGGAGGATATTAGAGAGTAAAAATGTGGGAAAAGTAGCATGAGAAAGCAAGGAGAGGAGAAGGTATACAATTCCGTGAAAATAATAGCCAGACAAATTCAGTACATAATGCCTGCATTCTCTTACAGAGCTTTTTGTCCAGCATTTGCCTCTTCTGATATCTCCCAGTTTTCAAACTAGCAGATCCCATTATTGATGCTCCTTCTCAGACCCTATACTGCAAAATGACAGCAGGCTAAGTTTTATAGTAAGCAAAGTGCTCCATAGTCTATCTTGCGTTCTTCTGGAACCCCTTCCCACTCACACAGCACATACTCCAGATTTGTGTTGCTGCTACTCTTCCTATCACAAAGGGAAGTGCGTATAACTCAGTGTGGTCCAGTTTCTAAAAATGAGTGGCCCCAGTCAGTGCTACATCTAAAGGCATCAGCTGCCCTCCCACCTCAGTTGTGCTTCCCAACTCCTTATTGGACATCCAAGCACATTTCCATTTTTGTGATTTTGCCCTTGTTGGTTCCTCTTCCTGAAACATTTTTCTCTGGTATGGTCTACATGGCTTCTTCTCATCTGCCAAACACTCCCATCCCCACCCCCATTCCCAAACCTTAATACTATTTTTTAGATTTTTGCCCCTATTATCAAAAAAGCCTTCTCTGTCTAATGTTTATAGCACAGTTACCTTTAAACTTAATCCTCTGGGCTCCATAAAGACCTGAATGGATGTTTGGATAACTGCTATATTCCTAGCATCTAGAATAGTGATTAGCACATAGTAGGTGTCCAATAAAAATGTGTTGATGAAGTTGGTAACATTGTTCTTACAAGGGAAAAGTCCTGTCTCACAATACCTGGAAGACAGTTTAGGAAAACTTTGGGTGCTTTCATAGACTAAGCCACTCACCGACACTGCACCCCATTTACACATAAAAATCCAAGAAGCCTTTGAGAAAGTAATCTGTCCAGGTAAGCACGACAACACCATTCCCATTCAGTTCCCAACAGGGCTCCAAACAACCTTTAGAAAACCTGCTCTCTGATAGAGAGCACTAATTTGTGTCTTATGGAAAATCAAATAAATTATTTTTCACCTGAAGGGAGCAGGATTATTTGACTTCAGATATTTGCCATATGGTTTTTCTATCACACAATGTAGCTTTGAGGCTTAAGGTAGTAAGAGCAGGAGCATGTCTATAAATTATTCAGAGATAATTCAAAATAAGTGTGCATCCTTGACAGATTGTCAAGTTTCTTAATGCTTCTTGGTAACAAGTGCTATGTTTCTGATGAAGTGTTGCTTATTTCTCACCACACTTCATTTCTGCTCTGTGTATGTTTTCTGTGTTGTTTTGTTTGTTGTTTTTGTTCCCCCCACAGAGTGCAGTCTGGCTCTTACCTCAGCACGGGGTGGTTTACCTTCCTTCTGGCCATGGACGCCTGTTATGGCATCCACGTCTACGGGATGATAAATGACACCTACTGCAAGTAAGATCACAGGAAATTATTTTTATGCAGCTCCAATTCTGATATCTTGTCAAAATATCACAATTCATTTTAATGTCATAAATCTGAGAAACAGATAAAGCAACAATTATTTCCTGGTGTTCTTTGCTGACATGACATGTTATTGTCAGTGCATCAAGTTGTGACTTTCAGGGGTGATAAAAAGAAAAATATTTACCACAGTCTAATGTCAAATGTCAGAAGGAACACTTTTTCCTTAATCAGTGGCATGTCAGGGACTGGTAGCTTGGAAATTTGGAACAAGTTTAGAGGCAATTTAATTTGCAAAAGTGAGTTTGTCATCTCTGTGCTCTAATGCTTGATGGATGGCTATCCACTCGATGGTTATATTTGATCATGAAGGAAAAAAATGTCCTGAAGCCTCAGAGAAACTGACAGCTTAATAAGAATTCCTGGAAATTATATTTCACTAATAAGTGAGTAATCTGCCAGATCCTTATTTAGAATGAGTGTGTTTATCCATAGTATATCCTAGCTGGGGGGAGAGTTTCTAATTAGATAATAAAACAAACCCTCCGTGCTTCATCAGGGTAATGAAATATATTCTCTACCAACAATTGGCACATTATAACTCAGAGACTGTTTTAATCATATTGTCAAAATGGTAACTCTCAGCCACAATCTTGATGAACAAATATTTCTACCCTAACTATACATATAGTAGAGCACAGATGAACCCAAAGTCTTAACTGTTGAAAAATCACAAAATTTCTTTAAATTCTGCAAGAGCATCAGTCTGCCCAAGTTCGCTTCCATTATACACCATTTCCTCTTTCAAAGGATAGCCATATGTTTGAATGTAATTGGTGTGATGTATAAATTTTCCTTGATCTATGAAAGCACTAAAAACCTGGTACATCTTCCTAAAAGCTTTCATACATAATAGCTTTTAACTGAGTTCATCAACAAGAATCATCTATGGGTTTTCAAGTAAATGCATTTACTGGGCACCTAATGGATTCTTGTAAGTGAATGCTTCATTCTTCATCTCAATCTTTCTCTCCCTTTCCTATTTTTTTTCTTTTCTAGGACAGAAGGTTATAGAAAAGTCCCCTATCATTACTATGAACAAGGAAGAGATGAGTGTGATGAATATTTTCTTCATGAACATGCCCCATATGGGGGACACAGGTTTATTACTGAAAAGAAAGTGTTTGCTAAATGGGCCAAGAAACACAGAATAATATTTACACATCCAAACTGGACAGTGTCTTGATGTTGGATTTTCTGACCCTGCCACATCACTTGTTCTGATCGTGATATAACAATTGTGATGCTGGTGATGCCAATGACCATGATGGTGATGATAAAGAAGACAGCAATGATGCTCAAGTCCCTGTGCATTCTCCAATATGGATGGTGACTCTGCTAGAAATTTGAACCTGGTGGGATTCCGTGGAGGGTGGTTGTACACATTATGTTCTTTCTGAAGGTTCAACACTACATACTGCACTTTATAATTTAACTGGAATTGAAATGAAGGCCAGTGATATGACAACTGTGACTTAAGAAATGGAAGATTACCCTTCAAGATAGCTGCCCAGAATTCTTCAACAGTAACTTTTAAAAGTCATGGAATTTGACCTCCTGAAGACAGATTACCGAATCCGTGGCCTCTGGAGCCTGGGCAGCTCCACCATCTTGAAGAATGGTTAACTGTCAAACACTGTCCCAAGATATGCTATCAGGGTACAAGTATCTTACTGCAGTTTACTAATTAGCCTGAGGAAGGGAAGATATCTCTTTGATATGTCATCTTCCCAGAGCTGAAGCCTCAGGCCATTACCTAATTAGCAATGAAGACATCAAGGAAGTCTTACAGATCAGGGTACCTTGACTGTCTCAACACTTAATCTGAAATGTACCAAGTAGCAAATCTTGAGGAATCTCCACTCTGACCACTTCATGCTTACTACTCAAAACAATATCAATATAACTAAACATAGTATCAGAATTAGTGTTTAGTTATTTTGGCTGAGTCCAAAATATTTGTGAAGGCTATTTAACATGTAAGATACCAACTTCAACACTGTAATAACATATACTGTGAAACTTTCCTAAAACGTAACCAAAGGGTTTCCTAACTCTGCTTCAACATCCAGCAACACAAAATTATACGCTTTTTAAAATCATGAAACAGGGAAAGCAAAGCATATTTTTACATCAATTTGTATCCTATCATACTTCATAGTATATATTTGTATACTCAAATTTCTATTTTATAGGCCCAAGATGTGTCTTTCCATACATTACAGTATCATTGCCAAGTGCCAACTGTTAAACATGGGTGATTCCTTCCTTATATTACATCTGAACAGAACTTTTGCCTTCTTGGGGTTAATTTTCCCCATAGTTTATCAGTTGTTATACCATAATAACAATAATGATGACCTTAATGTCCAAAGTGCTTTGTTGTTTAGAGTCCTTTTCATATCCTATACCATGTGATGCCCTTGACCACCTCACTGAATTATCACCTACAAATTCTGCCATCTGTTTTAGTAGTTGATCTGTAATTTGTTGATTGTTCTGATATACACCGAATTTCTCTACTTGCTAATATTTGCATAGACTAGCATTTATATAGATTAGTAATCAATTGATTTCAGTGCCAAATACAATATATTATATCAAGGTTATGCAGAAAGTACCATAAGGATGGTCTTGGCCATAGACTAAGACCCCTATGAACTTAAGTACTTTTGATTATTTTCTTTTGTTTGTCTGGTTTTTTAATTGATGTATTTAGATGGGGAAAGATGGGGAATTAGGGACAATAGAAATGAATGAAAGTAGAGAAATAGTTTCCTATTCTAGGTTTAAGAAAATTGTTCTCTGTATTCTCATTGCTCATTAAATATTAGAGGGTTTATTCACTGAGAGAGTAGCTAGGAGTCTAGATACTTCCTTGCAGAATGATTTAAAAGACAAAAGCCAGGCTCAACTTAAAGAACCTTTAAGAGGCTGGAAGAAATGATGCATTTCACCTCAGGAAGAGTTGGCATGTATTTACCAGTGCTAAATATCAAGATGAGTTATCATTAAAATATGCTGATCTGGGTAAAAGCCTCTCTCCTGCTCCTCTTCTGCCACTTGATACCCACATCCATAAAAATACCCAAGCTCCAATTTCATCATGGAAGTGAATTGTTGTTCTTTGGTTGTTTCCTCATATGATTTTCAGGTCTCTGAATATTAAGATTTTTTTGATGAATAGAAATGTCCACTCAAAAATAAATAGATACAAATGTCAAAAATTGTAATACACTGTTTTTCTCCTTGTTGTGATACAGAAATTCCACTTTTAAATAAAAAGGAATCCTTGATTAATCAGAATGCTTTGGGGAATGCCATGACCTGATTTGTTTAATTTCCCAGTAAATGGAGGGCTGACTCGTTTGTTTTTGCCTTTACTGATGATAAATTGTTAAGATATGCTGCTCTCTGGCCTCTGTCTATGGTTCCCTGATGAAGGAGACTGCAGTGCTCTGTCTCCTCACTGCATGTGTGGGAAAGGCCGGCACTGGGCATGCGCTGTGGAGGTTGCTCAGGGCAAGTCCTCTCCTCTCTTCTCTCTTCCCCTCTTCCTTTCCTCTCTCCCTCTTCTCTTGTTTCTTTCTTTTTGTCTCTTTCTTTTCTAAACTAAATTCCTACTCTGCATTTTTTTTATTATTGTTTTCTTTCATACTTTTTTTTTTCTAAAATCAAGAAACAGAAGTATTTTATTCTCAAATTGGAGACCCACTTGGATTATCTCCAGTGTAATTGGGGTTTTGATAGAAACTCACGACTTACTTTCCTCTGTCATCTTAATTTTCTCTGCTTTCATTTACTATTTCTTCTTCTTCTTTAGGTATCGGGTATAGAACCCAGGGACACTTGGCTGTGGAGCCACATCCCCAGTCCTATTGGTTGCTTAGCACCTCATTTTGCTGAGGCTGGCTTTGAACTGGTGATGCTCCTGCCTCAGGTTCCCAAGGTGCTGGGATTACAAGCATATACCATCATGCCTGGCTCCGATTTTCTTATTCCAGCTTCCTAATTTTAGTGGAAATGCAGTTGACTTTCTCCCATGTTGGGAGAAATTTTCCTTCACAGATTTGCTGATAGAGAAGTGTAAGGCAATTTCTAGACAATTCTACAGGTTGTGGTCAAATGAAAAAGATTTCATCCAGAATCTAAACACTGGAATATACAGATGAACTCGTTCATCACTGAGGTGCACCTATCCTGAATGTTAATTAATATCTGTGGAAAAGAAAAGTGGTTCAATATCACCTGAGACTCTAGGCAAAACTATGGAAAATGCTGTTATTTTCTGAAATCAGTATAAAAGAATGCAAGTTAAAATAATAAATTCTATTTCTAATTCTGCAGAAACCTAGCAAAAGTAAGTTTTAAAATAATTTTACAATAAATGTTTGAATCCTATCTAAGTTAACCTAGTGACAAGTTTTAATGATTTGTATTGTTATGATGGTCACACAATTTTACATTGTTACCAAACCTATCAAAGAAAACAAAATTTGGTAGGATTTGGGATGATATTTGAATATATGCTCATAAAGTTCATTTGTGTGGAATATAATTATATGCATAAATATACATATATACTCATAACTATATATGAAAGCATACATGTAATCCTATATTCTTCAATGATATGTGAATCACAAAAAACCCTATTTTAGCCTCCATCTGAAATTTGTTGGGTTTCATTTTGAATCCTATGAAAAAAGCAGAAATTCAAAGTAAAAGTACTGATTGCTGAGAGTACATAAAAACATATTCAGTAGCTGGCCAGAAGGATAAAGCAAGATAAGGCACTAAATCTAGAACTGGGAACACAATTAGATGCCACAGTTGTCACAAATCAGACTTGTAAGTATAGCAATCTGTATCGTAAGGCTCTGCCGATTACAGCTTAGCTAAAATCACATGAAAAACATTGCATCAGGCTTCATTCATGCAGAAGTAAATGAACACTGGTCCCCCTATTCAAATAAGCCAGTCTTTAGCATAAGCAGGACTCAGATTTGCATGGTTTTTATTATATAGCTAGAGGACTGTGACCATTGTGAAAAAAGAAAATTATATAAGGAGATTGCTCTTTGAGGATTTGGTATGAATCAGCTGGTCTGGGAACAACAGTCTGAATTGGAGACCTGCTGACCTTCCAAGAAGTATAAAGCCATCAGAAGAGAATCACTCATGGCTTTTTTAGAATAAAGACAACACTGGAGTACTTCACCTGGCGGTGTTAATTGGATGCTAATTATGAGATGAGTTTAATTTTGATAAGCAAGAAGATATAAACAGATGGCTTACTTTTTTAAAAAACAAACCCATCTAAGCTTTAAGATGACATGTCAAATGTCAAGAATCAACTTTGTTGTCCAGTTTCAATTTGCATGTCTTAGCATAGCAAATTAGTTAATGCCCCTGAAACACAAGGGAAAAATACTTTGAATTTAACTCCATTTGTAAATGGCAAGATCTCATTATTTTAATAGTGTACTGAAAAAACCAATGACTGAAGGAACCGGTGCTAGGCTTTCTAAGTAGTCTGAACTTTTAGAGCTGAAAGGTCCTTAAAGACCAGCCAGTCCACTTCCTCCACCTGAGAGTTGAAGACCAGACCCATACAGAATGAAGTGGTTACCTGTCACTAGAGAATAGACTGATGGCAGTACTAAGACCCAAACTCTCATCTCCTGTCTCCTTATCTAATAATTTTTCTACTATACATTTTTTTTTTCCTTTCAGTACTGGGGATGGATCTTGAGGCATTGTATCACTGAGCTATATCCCCAGCCACTCCCATACCTACTCCACCATCATCATTTTTTTTTTAAACAGGGTCTTGCTAAGTAGCTCAGCCTGGCCACAAACTTATGAGCCTCCTGCCTGAGCATCCCAAGTTGCTGGGATTTTTATGGTGTGCACCACCACATCCAGCTCCACTACATTTTTTCAAAGCACAGAATAGCAGCTGGGAAAAAAATGCATATGTTTATACTAAAAGAATCTACATTCACAGAAAAACAGACTCCAATTTGTGTTGGTTCTACTCAGGATCAAAGAATCCCCACAAAGAAGTATAAGAATATTTGCATAATTGAAGGAACATAACCCAGTAATTGTCTATATTCTCCATTCTCTATGTTTTTTTCTAAGACTAGGCCATGTTCTCATATAAAGAAATTCTAGCCTACCAGGTTGGCATATGCCTGTAATCCTAGCAGTGCGGGAGGCTGAGGCAAGAGGATCTCGAGTTCAAAGCCTCACAATTCAGCAAGACCCTAAGCAACTTAGTGAGACCCTGTTTCTAAATAAAATATAAAAAAGAGTTGGAGAATGTGGCTTGGTGTTTTAGTGACCCTGGTTCAATCCCTAGTACCAAAAAAAAAAAAAAAAAAAAGAAAAAGAAATCAAGAAAGAAAGCAGGGAAGAAAGAAAAGAAATTCTAAGACTAGTGTTA